ATGCATCGTCCCTCTCCCCGCTTGCTCCAGGGAGACTCGGGAAAGGAAAGAGCAGGTCTGGGTCAGGCATCATAAACCGTCTGTAAAATGGGGATAAAAGCAGAGCCTTCTTTCCCGGCGGCTCTGAGGACCAGGGCATCATGCTGGTGAAACCCTCTTTCAGCTGGAGGAGAGCTCATTAGATGGAAACAGCTGTCACTCTAGTGGCTCTGCCCTGTCAAGCGATGTACACTGACTCTCGCTGGCCTCCTGGCCCTGGGCCGAGCCACTTGTCCTGGCAGCGGGGCCCTGCGTGACGCCTCCCTTCCTCTGTGAGTTATCTGACATCATCTCCCACAATGGCGCATCTGCTCCTGCCTGCCTGTTTCTTTGTTCCTTGAACACCCACCCACCCTGCCATTTCTCTCCATCTCCAGCCCTTCCTCTCTGGTGGGAGCACCTCCACCACCCCATTCTCGGAGGACCACAGCAGTGCCCTCATTGGCTACCCTATTGCTAGTCATATCCACTAAAGCCCGTCTTCCCACAGCAGCCTGAGGGAGATCATGCCCCCCACCCTCCTTAGAAAGCATCCAGGGTGTTCCAGCAGACTGAAAACAAACCTCGGTTCTGCATCCCAGCTCACAAGCCTCACTGTGACCCCATTCACTTCCTCAGCATCGCCTTCTCTTGGTATGGAACTCTGACGGTCTTCCTGTTCTGCAGCCCCAGGTCTCTTCCAGTTCCTGCCTCGGGACCTTTGCACTTGCTGTTGCCTCCACATAGGGCAGCTTTCCCTTGAAAGGTGTACCTGGCTGTCCCCTTTGCATCTTTTAGGTCTTCGTTTAAATGCCTCTCCTTAGTGAGGCCTCTGACTTACACATGAATCAAAGGCTGGCTTTGCCCTTCCTGCCTGTGGTGGAGCCTTCCATCCCACCTCCCTGCCTTCCCAGAGGCCCAGAGCCACCTGCGGGGAAGATGAGACTGGGCCTGACTTCTCATTTCCTCTGTCGATTATGCTCTAACAATGCCAATTACCTCCTTTGCTCCACATCATTTTTCTCAGTGTGTCTCAAGCCTTCCCAGGCACTGGGGGAAATGGGCCGCCAAGCCCTCCTCCCCATGACCGACTGGCACAGAGCCCAGCTGCAGAAATACATTGTTCTCAGGGCCTTGACAATGGGGCGTTTGTGGATTGTGGCTGCTGGCGGTGGGGTGGGGCTAGAAATAGAGGTGCTGGGTGAGGAAGCCGTGGAAATAGGCAGGGGCTTTGGTTTCCTTGCCTGTGAGGTGGGGCATCAGCAGTGCACACCTTACAGATCTGGCTTGAGGGCGAAAGAGCCTTTATCACAGCACTTGAGGAGGGTATTCGACCGGTGCCTTCTCACGGCCTCCCGTGTCATTACTCTTCTTCTAACATCTGGGTTGAGCTCCCAGACATTCTATGGAAGACGTTCTCTGCCCAGTTTAGAAGATGAAAATGGTCCCAGTCATGCTGTCTCCTCAGTCCCCCTGGCATCCTCTGCCTTGGCTTGTATTTTCTCCTTTTATAGATCAGTGGGGCCCCTCAGTGGGTGGCCACTTCAATACGATTCTGGCTAGCTTTTTTTTTTTTTTTCTAACCTTAATATCGTTTACTGTTTTGGAGAAACAGTGGCCTGGCCCTTGAGAAAGCGTGCTGGTCTGGGCAATACACAGGGTGTCCTTACTGCTTGTAGTTGTATGACTTCAGACAAGGGACCGCCCCTCTCTGAACACCAAGTATTTTCCTTGGGTGATTTCTAAGGCTTTTTTTTCGCTCAGAGATTCTAGGGTTCAGAAATCAAGGGGAAACTCTCAGTTGCAGAATGGACTGTGAATGCAAAATATTGTCTGCCATCTCAGTAAACAAAGGATGCGGCAGCCATCAAATCTTCAGCGACTACCGCCACCCCAACAGTGAGTGGAGGGAATTCAGGATGGAAACAAGCAGGCATCCTGGCCTCTGCAGCCAACCCCCAAGGAACAACTTCCTTAGAATGTCCAGGAGGTCCTGAGGGAACTCAGGATGTGGAAGAACAGGGGACTGGCCCTAGAGATCAAAGGAATGATTTCAGTGAGCCCAGAACTAAATCTCTTCACTTGTAGTATCTGATTTTCTTTAATTAACAATAATCTTTTGATGTTCCAACTACCTGGTCTTTGTCAACAAAAACTCACATATATCCTGGTTCCTCCCTTGCCTCTTGGGAGCAGTCTCTGAGAGCGATCTGACTTCTGGGTTCGAGTCCTCAGAAAGTCTGCTGAATAAAACAACTCTCAACTTTTAGGTTGTGCATATTTTTTCAGTTAACAGGACTTAGGGTTTATGCACGAATGTGGTCTCTCCAGTGGGAAATGTCTGTCTTTTGGGGCCATACAGGTCACTGTACTCGTCTCAATGTCCCCACTTTGCTAGGGTAGGAGACCTGCCGTGTACAAGTCAACAGAAAGAAGAGAAGGGTGAGGAAGAGAAACGTTTAATCAGTGGCTCTTAACCTTTGAGAATCTAGTGAAAGCCATGAGCCCAGGAAAATTCTCACATGCAGAATATTTTGCATAGCATTTAAAAAGGTGTTCACAACTCTGGTTAAAAAGCTACTCCTGGGCTCATTTTGGGGAGGGGAGTGCTTGTTCAGTTTTGAGTGGGCTTGGCACCTGCCTGCCTCCAATGCAGACACCTCTGCTGCCCCCATTTGTGGATTGATGAATAGTTATGAAGATGTGAGGGTCACCCCTAAAGTATCCTGCTGCCTGAGAGGGGCTGGGCGGGGCCAGAGGGGAAGGACGTTCAAGGAGACATAGTCACTAGGCCTCTTCTCTTTTCTTGTTCCCCTCCTGCCTGGTCCAGCTGGAGCAGAGTGAAGCCAAGTGTGAGGATGCCTTGAAGACCCAGAAGGCACTGACAACAGACCTGGAGAACATGCACAGTGAGCTGGAGCACATGACCCACAGCAAGAGCCTGGTACTTGCCCCCCCCCACAGGCCTACTGTGTGCTCAGCATTAGAGGAGGGACAAGGGTCTGATTGGTCTGACATCCATTGTAGACCTACTGGGTGCTTGGCACTCTGAGAGCACAGGCATCCTAGTAAGAGCCGAGCATTTTAAAGATATGAGGGCACACATGAGCGTCAACTGTGTGCTCACCTGTGCAGAGATAGGCCGGGAAACCTGCTGTGGACCTCATGTGTGCTCAGCCCTGTGGGGATGCATCCAGTACGAGTCTGTTTGCTCAGCACCTGAAGTGGGAACACAACTGTTGTGTGGCTATACTGTGCCCACCACTGTAAGTGGCTCCCCGTCATCTGTTGTGGTCCTACTGTGTGCTCACCACCTAAGAGGGCATGTATGTGCTCATCATTGTCAGGCAACTGCAGGCCCATTCTTCTTAGTGGAGACGAGGGTAACCCTGATTGGCCCAGTTAGGCTCACTACTGAAAGGGACCCAGCCACCTGTGTGTCCCTTGCTGATCAGGGGCAAGTCAACATA